AGCCGTGGCTGAGGCCGAGAGCTTGGAGGAGCAGCTGGTGGAGGCTCGCCAGGCCGCAGCGCAGGCTTACATGTCGCACGAGCATTGCGAGAATGTCTACAAGGAGACTGTGCGAGGCCTGGCGGCCAAGGTCGTGCCCGAGGAGAAGAAGCCCGTGGTACCGCGCCTCAGTCTCGAGGACATGTTGTCGGGCAAGGACATTGATTTCGACGATGGCGGCCTCTTCGGCATCGAGCAGCTCGAAGGGGTGGAGGTGCAGGATGCCGATCGAGATGAGCTCGAGCGGCGTAAAGGAGAACTTCAGCAGCTCGTGCAGGCTGCCGCCCGCGAGGCCTTCCAGGGCCTCAAGGAGAAAGGCACGGCGATGCTGGAGGAGCAGAAGAGTTTCAACAAGCGCATGCAGGCTAAGAGGCGACGAGGTCCTGATGGGCAGGAAACCCCGCCCCCCGACGGTGGCCCTCCAGCGGCTGCAGCGGCCGATGATGGTGGTGCCCCTGATTCTGCTTCACCTGGGGCGGTGCCTGCTGCCCAACCTGCTGCTCAAGCCCCTCGTCCGAGGGCGCCAGTGGTGGATCTGCTCAACCAGGACTCGGAGACTCCAGGACGGCCCGCTCACATGCCACCTGAAAAGATCGAGGAAGTCTACAACAAGGCCAAGGCAGCAGCCAAGGCCAAAGGCAATGGTCAGGATGGCAAATTTGACGGCAAACCTGGTGGTGTTAAGCAGCCTGTTTAGCAGGATGAGTACCGTCTGGACGGCCAACACTACCAGCTGGGGGCCGTGCATTTCGCTTGTTGAGACGAAGGCCAAGCAGCGCCGCCAGGATGCGAAGTTCCGCCAGGCGTTGCATGAGCCACCGACAGGCAAAGCGAATTCAAGCACTTTTTCAACCCTCCCTGGGCCTCATATTTACCTTTTTCAGGAGGTTGGAGTTCGACCATCAGATCAGATCGTTCGCCAGAAGATGTTCAGGGACCAGGGACCAGGACCAGATGTTCAGGGAAACTGAAGCAGGGGGGCTCTCTGGAGGGGTAGCCATTGGAGTGCCAGCATGTATTGGAATGGGCAGACCTCCAGAGTTGCCCCAAGCGTTGCCGTCACCGCACAGAGTTTTGATCAGGTGGGTCAATGCGTTTCTTCCAGGAGGTGTGTTGGCGGTTGCCCTGTACCTACCCACGACCGATCCCTTCGGCCCCGAGGGTACGCTGCTGCTTAGTAGATTGGGTGAAGCACTTCGCTCAGCAGGACTGGCTTTTTTGATTGGCGGCGACTGGAACGCCCCACCGGCACTGTTGGGACGGCTCGGGTGGCCTAGCAGACTGGGTGGTAGGATAATCTCGCCGTCGCTGCCAACCTGTACGTCTGGGAAGCGTGAGTGGAGAACGCTCGACTACTTTGTGGTGTCGGAAGCTTTAGCCCCCTCGGTTGTGTCGTGCCAGGTTTCTCTTGGATCCCACTTGAAGCCGCATCGGCCCGTCAAACTTGTAATGAGAAGTAAACCGATACTGCAGATGATGACCGTTCTCAAGGCCCCCAGAAAGTTCCCCAAGGAGCGCCCAGTTGGACCCGTTCCAGGACCTCCTCGAGAGTGGCCTCAGGTTATCACCTTCCTTGAGAACCAGGGTACCCAGGAGGACCTCAACGTAGGCTTTGGGAAGTTCATGGGTTTGTTGGAGCAGGAGCTGATCGCGGCTCATGGTATTTCTGAGTCTGAGAGGTCCCGCTTCACAGGACGAGGACATGGGTGGAAAGTTAAACAGGTCCCTGCTCTTCCCCAAGCGTCAGGCCCATACCCTGCAGCATGTTCACTGAGCAGGGATTGGAGGTGGTGGAGTAATTGGTGTCAGGAGCTGCCGAGGACACTGTCGGAGCAGCAGCCCTGTTCGCGAAGATCCTTCTCGGCACTCCTCTGCTGCGAAACAGCGGGGAGTGGAAGGGCATGTGGTACCTCACCCCAGGCTATTTATCATGGTGTGATGCCGAGGCTCCTATGGACTTGCATGAGACGGCTGGAGGCCACGCCAAGAAGCTTGAATCCAGGTTCGCAGTCAGTCGAGCCCGACAGTGGCGAGGGTTTGTACAGCAGGCTGTGCAGGCAGGAGGAGGTAAAGCTCACCAGCACACTCGTTATCCTCTCGGTTGGCGCCCCGCGGCACCTCGTAAAGGAGAACCCCCCCCCAGGGCCCGCGGAGCTTATCGAGCAAAACCTTCAGGTCTGGGAATCAATTTGGGGCTCGGAAGGACCCAGTTCGAGGCCGCTCCAGGATCCAGATCTTGTTTTTGAAGAACTTCGAGGACTCCTGCAGGATCAGCAATGCCCTGTTCGCCATTTTTCACTTTCGGAGATCCGCAAGGTGGCGAGCAGGGTGAAGGCTTGGACGGCCCATGGCATTGACAGATTAGGACCTCGTGACTTTCTTCTTCTATCTGATGAATGTCTTGAAGCTTTGAATTTGGTTTGGGTCTGGATGCTACAACAAGGAGTTCTGCCATCCCAGATAAGCTTAACCTTACAGCCAGCGC